AAAGAAAAACACATTAATTCAACACGCAAGAAAGTCCAGAGTACGACACAACGTAAAATACATAGGAAACCGGCACAATTCTTTGAAAATTCAACGCAACTGTGTAAAATATAGTTTGATCACTCTGTGAAAATCCGCCATTGCAGTTCGGAATTGTGCGCGTGCGTACAAGTGTATAGGCTAATAAACGAAAAATGTACCACAAGCATGGCATGGGTCAGCTAGTACGTACATAAATACGTAATTTGTTGCTATTATATTTGAATCATGGAACGGAGGGAATCGATGGCATTTTGGCTTAATCGTTGCACCTTGAGCCTGCGATGCGCTAACGCAAACTCGATTTCTCGACTACGAAAAAAACAGAAAAAGAGGGATTTAAGACACTTGGCCTACAGGCCAGTGTAATAACGGTATTTGGTCTACATATCTTTAATTTGAAATTTCCTTTCGTTGGCTGTTTTATCAACTTTTAAAAACTGAAAAATCACCGCGTTGTCGAATCGCGTCCGGTGTGGGTCAGCCTTTACATGAAGTAGTTACCGATCATTCTTCCAATGGCATAGCCAACGTCATAGACTCCAGCTCGATCCTAAATCCATCTAATTGGTTTATTTCTGTCACATGATGCTTATTTATATTCACTAGTATAAAAGCGCATGTAATTCTCCTGACTCCCGCTAATCTGAAGGTAGCCATTGGGTCTTCTATGCTTCTACGCAGAAGTTTTTGATATGGTAAAAATCGAAGGAAGTCAAGAAAGCTCTGCTATCATTCAGAACAGAACGGCGACCAACCAAGAGAGTGATCACAATAAGTCAATATCTTAATTATTTACGCTCCGAATTACTTATATCGCATATCAATTACTACATTAATTAAAAATCGACTGAGAAATCTTGAAATACTGCATAAATTATAGTTCATTCAAACATACTCTAACACGTCATTGTTTGGCCATTTTTCTAAGTTTTTTTAGCAAATTATTTACGCATTATTTAGCCTGTGATGCAGACACACATCTATATCTCGATTGTGGCCGCTAAACTGTAACATATTTTGCTTTTCAAAAAAAAATGAACTCAAATGAGCACAGAATAGACTATACAGAAGCCAGGCTTCTTGGTTTTTCCTATGATTTCCAATAATTTTAGCGTAACCGTAATTCGTCATCAAAATGCTGACGCCATGCGCCTAGCCAGTGCGCGTTTGAGAGGCATTCACCCCCTGAAAATATTCAAAATGGCGGAAATCCAGGAGGGTAATGCCTCTCATAAACGCACTGGCTAAGCCCATGGCGTCAGCATTTTGATAGCTATGTAGCTTCACTGCCTCCACGTGATTTTTGGAGTTCCAGTAGCTTATGTACGTGCTATCAATTACGTTCTGAAGCACACTTCTTAGATTTAGAATTAGCCGCTTAGATAATGGAAGTGGCTCGTCTTGCCGGTTAACTCGCCTCCATATAAACAGGCCCTCAGTAAGCTCAGTTACAGAGTGACTGGAACTCGTAACTTCCACAAAGGTTTCCGTGCACTTTAAGATTTCCTCATTATGCGACTAACCGCTGAGGTTTGTGTGTGGGCGCATGAAAAAATGTGAAAAAATCAAATGAAACCTCATGATACAGAATAAAGACATATGGTAATTGCTAGATAGTATACTTCAAAATAAGATTTCCGTTTTTATATCAATTTTAAAATAAGTTAGGATTAGGTTAGGGTTTAGGTTAGGGTGAGGGTTAGTATTAGGGGTAGGTTTTAGTTTTGCGTTAGGATAGTTTTTTCTACGTTATAAAAACGGAAACCTTATTTTGAAGTATACTATCTAGCGATCATCAAAGACATATAGAAGGGTCAACTCGAGTAACCGCTAGCACGCCATGATTAATCTAAACCTCGCTGATAATAACTCAGGTGGAGCTAGAAACCCTGGGCAAAACATCTGCGACCAGCCTAGTCCCAGGCTCTCTCTCTCTATTCGCTGCTTTGATATATTTAAATAAGTCTTAAAAGTTTTACGCCTGGGTGTGCTGTGCGGAACGCTTCAGCGTGAGAGCCTAGCAGATTTCGGTAAAATGGACCCTGATTTCAAAAAAGTGGTCACTGGCCTGGTTACCAAGCATACCGCATTTGTAAATGGGAAATGTTATGGAAATTTCCTTTGCATTTATAATTAAGTCATTAGTTTCGCTCTAATGCTGTCGGAACAAAGAAATAGGCTACGTTTGGCTACCATACGGTCAGAATGGAATAACCGGCTAAATAGGACTCGTGTTTACTAAAATATATATATGTTATTTACCGGATTGGAGGTCCGTATAGAGAAATATTTCTCGAGGTCTTAAAAACGGCCCGAGGTCGAAGGCCGAGGGACGTTTTTAAGACCGAGAGAAATATTTCTCTATACGGACCGACCATATACCGGTAAATAATATCGGGAAGAGAAATATCTTTTGTGAGATAGTAAAATTCGTTTCCACTGTGTTTTTCATTGTCTGCAGACATTTTAATGTTTTAAAAAGTAGCCTTTAAACTCGTCTTTAAATTTTGAAAAATAAAAACATTGGCCCTACGGCTTTAAATCTCGCGCGGTCCGTACGGGCTCATACGGACCGCTCACGTAGCCAATCAGATTGCAGAAAAGCGTAAAATATGACTTCGGACCGCAAGAAAAAAAATAAAAAGCCATATTAACTGCTATCTGGAAGCTTGAAAATTATGCCGAGTCTTCGACTAAAAATGTTTTGACAACACAGTCATGTCAGGCAAATATTTCCAATCTCCTTAGCTACTTAAACCTGTCGAGTAGAAAGCATAGTTGTGTATACCAGTATGGTCGATCTAGTGTTGATCACAACTTGCGAGTATATAAATAACATGAACGATTATACGACCATTGCACAGACTCAGTATCGTAAATTTGTATATAAATTTTTTTAATTGAGCACATTTTTAATACAGTTTGAATTTGGTTATGTAGACATCGAACATGATCACATTGTCGACATTTTTCGTATTTACAAAGTTATTTGTATATATAACTTTCCCGCCATATTAAAAATACTGAAATCTGCTAGGCGTTCTGAAGTATCTTTAGCGTTGACGTCACACCTAGATCCCAGTCTCGTACTACATCCACGTTTTTCTCGCGCTTGCTTCAGAACGACTGGGACTAGGCTGATCTGCGACATCTCCCCCTTACCCCCAACTATTCAATTTTGATTGCATCCCCAGTATAGTACGGATAAAGCAACTGTAAAACGTCCAACAATGGTTTTTTTTTGGGGGGGACACAAGCAAATTATTCTGGTCTAATAGAATAAGTAAAAAAAACAAAACACATAGGGATGTCTTAATAGAGTATCGCAGATGGTTTTGACCAGGATTGTACTTATCGATTGGTTACCGCAACATAAAATCAACAAGCATGTAAGCATGCACTAATGCCAACAATGACATCGACACTCAAACAACTCCAACACTTACACGCCCATGGTTGCATGTAGGAATAGAACTTTATGAATTATGAATTTGAAACATTCTAACAACGAATTAGTCGCACTTCGCTTTATTCTTATGGCTATCAAATATCCAAGCTGCTTTTAGGACGAACCGTGTGGCACGAAATGTTCATTCGTTGATGTTGCATCTGCATGCATGATTTTAGTGAAACCAGTATTTGTTTCGACATTCGTTTAGACGCGAGACTATACATTAAATACGAATGGAGAGGACAAATAATTCTACCTAAATGTTGATTCAAAACTCATCGTGTGGGTGATAATCTGGGTGGCATGCTGCTGGTGTATGGAATACAAATTCGTATTCACATTTACTTGGTTCTGCTACACCAACCAATTCGTTCTTAGTTCCACAGCTGAGTTTCACCTATATAACAAATAAAAATCTCGAATGAGAAGACTGTAACACCCGGTTTATTTTGCGAACTGCTAAGAATAGCAAGCGTAAACAAAAGACTTTTTATTTGCACGAATATTGAACCAAAATGAGCTCGATATACAAACTAAAAGAAACAACAGACCATCATAACAGAAAATTGTCTCGAGAATGACTTAAAGTTTCAAAGAAGAATTTAACGTCGAATTTAACTGTGTATCAAACCCGCTTATTTACGTATAGCGCGTGTATATTAATAATGATTTTGCTGTGCTTAATTAAATTTTGTAACAATTATCACTAAAATATCTTGAAAATCGTTCGGAACTTTTTATATATAGCATACAGAGCATATACCTCGGTAGTGAACCGCAAAACTCAAAGTTGTATATAAATAATTTGAACTTCGGTAACCGTGACATATAAAACTGACATGTTGACCTGGTCGCATGGCATTGGCTCAGTAAGGAATTTTCGCGCGCTTTTTGTTTCGCTTTATTTTGACGTACGTATATTTATAAGACCCATTTACACTTGCAACTTTCGCTGCGATTTCTAGTGCGATTTTCTTCTTCTGATGCATGTGCAACCTCGTTCCCAGGCTCTTTGCTCTTGGGAAACAAAGACCCTGGTCGGAGCTGGTCACGTGAACCCCCAGATTTTGGGGGTAAATTGAATTTGATCTCAGGGAGGGGTAGTAGAGTAGTCTGTTTGTTGCGTTTGGAAAATTGCAACTTTATGTGTTTAATTTCGGGTGATAAAAATGTATTAATTTGCAACACGAGATTGTGAAAGGAACTGTTCTAAATTCGTACCGATCATGACAAGACTTCCTGCTATAATGAATGTCATCAATAATAAGTGTTGCGTTACATTTCAAGCGAGAAGCTGGATCATATTTCACTTGCAAGGAAAACACTCCACACGCGCCTGGCTTGCGAAGTTTAGCACGTATCGCCGTAGAAACATACATATCTTCTACACAGACTGATTGATCAAACGGTATTAAACGAACGATATGGTTCTTTATAGTTGAAGTGTATCCTGTCCGATATTCAAAACAAAAAGATTTATTTTATAACGGGATCCTTTGTCTTTGATTTCCCAAACATCGCCAACATGTGTAAACAATAGTGCTATTCTGACTGTAAAAGCACAGGATTAAAACCCGTTATGGACTGGCTATAAAATTCATTTCATTTACATTGCTGAAACTCAACGATCAAGAAAGATAATGTCGAAGTGTAGCTAGCTATATGTTATCACACAAACGCCAAGACTCCTCCGTGCGTTTCCGTGCGTGCGGTACAACTTGAATATCTAGGACGATATACGCACCAGACACTGGTATTGTACTTTATATAAATTATTTCATATTTTGTATATACAGTAATTTGCAACATGTATAATATTAGACCTTTCATTGACATTGGCATTGTCCATTGAGGGCTTTATTGAAGAATAATCCAGCTTCTTTAGACTTGTATCATGCATGATTAATGCCGCTGTGAGTTATTTTAGAAGTTTAGTCTGTTTTACCAAACAATACTGGAGGCAAACAACATGTCTATCAATGGAAACTTTACCAGTAAAAGGTTTGTTACAGTAAAACGCATTAATATAAGTGAGACTTCGTGGGCATATACAGTTTATGAATTATGTATATCCCTGATAAAACGTAGGTAGTACCAGATATAATAAAAAATACTTTGCTAAACCTTTTCGGCTGTCATTCCTTTGCATTTAAGGGGAGAGGGTAAATGGCGATAGAATTTAGAGGAGATGCTGTGCAATATTTTGGCTTCAACAGACAGGTACTCGTGCAGACAAAAAAGGAAATTCATGCAGTTTTGAATTGTCGTACGTCAGCTGTGCACTGTCGATTTCAAACAATTTTGTACGTTATATTTTGTCTTCCTGGTGTTTAATATAAACGATGATAACCTTTTAAAGAAAAATCTAGAGCAATATGTCCATAAACAGTTTTAATAGAATCAATAGAATGGACATTCAATGTGTATTTGGCTTGTGTCCAAATGTGTCACGTTTAAGACCGGCAAGGCGCTAATCCTACGACCTATAAACAGTCGCTTTTGAGACATCTGTTTAAAAAAAATTATACCATGTCCATATCAGAACAATTCATTGGCATATTATAAGCATATTATAAATATCAGAGCCAGAACAGAAACGTATGCGTGAAATAGAACTACGCCCGAACCGGCGAACCCCGAGAAAATAAAAATATTTCAAAGCGTACAGTCATACGTTCTCGTTGCTTGATTTCCTGAATTTTCTGTTGCTATAAGAATCTGCATTTTAGCATGTTTGCATAATTTAAAAGCAAACAGAAACCAATTTAGCAAGTAGTTTCAGGTATATATGATTCTTGAAGATGAATTAATGATTGTACAGAACGGCCACTCCTTGCAATCGAAGTGCGGAAGTGGAAACATGTAATATGAGACTTTTCCATCCCCCTCTTGGGCTATCAATTTTCAATGGGTCACGTGACCAGCTCCGACCAGGGTCTTTGCTTCCCAAGAGCAAAGAGCCTGGGAACGAGGTTGATGCATGTGAACGAGTAGATGAGTAACGTTATGAATGTTCTGAGTATCTGTACCCTCATCTAAACATTCATACATAACTCATCCACTCGTTCACATTCGTCAGAAGAAGAAAATTGCACCTAAAATCGCAGCAAAAATTGCAAGTGTAAATGGGTTTTCACAAACTCACGCTCAAATTGCAAGTGTTTTTAATTATACTTGTCTTTAACCAATAACTGCATGAATGCAAAACCTAGCCGACTACGCACTGACAATGAATAATTATTTGAGCATATACCATAACAAAACAAAAATGACCAAAACTCCGCGAAAATAAACATTTGCATTGCAGCACCTGCATTAGTTGTAAACAAAATTATAGTATTTACAAGTTTTCTAATTCCATTAATTAGAAATAGCTTTAAAGAATACCGCTACATACTGCAGTAAAACAAAACTCTTTGGCTTTTTTTTGTGATTGGCGGAAACGCATCTTCGTTTAGTAAAAATTGTTCGTCTGTAACCAGAACTAAACGGGAAGCCATTTTGTTTTGTCCGGAGGGGAATAGTGCAAGGATACCCAGAGCTGAGCAACCAATCAAATTGCGCCAAGAAAAACACTATATGGCCAGGTCACAGAGGAAGTACATACAGATATCTCACTTCAGGTTAATTTCGCTTAATTAAGGGATTTTTTCAGTCCGCCATGTTCTTAGCAAGTGCCCTAAAGAGAGGCAGTCACCCCCTGAAAACATTTTGAAAATTTAATTTATTCCAGGGGGGTGAATGCCTCTCTTTGGGGCACTTGCTAAGAACATGGCCGCCAGCTATTTCTGTAAAAAAGCGCCTTACGGTTTTGTAATGGAAGTTACACTTCTGTATGTCTTTATTCTGTAGCCATATGCAGGGTTCCCAATAGAAGCCGGCACCCGGCGAATTTCGCCGTCTATAGCCTAGACAATCGCCGGTTATTTCTCGAAATTACAAACCAAAATGTTTCCTCCTCATCGCAGAAATGTCAAGGGAAACGTTTCTTGCTTTTCTAACATAAATTTTACACAATAATCTTTGGTAAATATTTGGATAAAACGACAAAATATCCAAAACCGAAAGGCCCATTTCCACTCAGGAAAATTTTCGGCAGAAAGAAAATTTTGTAAAATGTGATTTGCCGCGGAAACAAGTTTTGAAGTTGAAAATTTTCAACTTTTAACAATGATATTTTCGGGAAATTTTCTGCCTGTTGAAAATTTTTCTTGACACGAAATGGGCCTCTGCAAAATGCCTGGAAATGCCATTTCAGAGGGTTTAAATCTCAGAATTTTCACAAAGAAACGCCCTCTGATCCCCTCCCCCAAGCGAATGGTACCTTCGGCACCACATTGCCGCCTACTCCTTTCAGAATGCCTCCTACTCCAATTCTATTGGGAACCCTGCATATGGTCGTAAAAATAGAGTTACGATCTTTCTCAACGCCCAGTTCATAATAGTTTATACCTGTAAACCACATATAAATCATAAGTACTTTCTAGTTCTAATCACTCCTGTATTTTCAGTTCTAAAATGTTGTATTTCGGCTGATGAGAAAGATCGTGAATCAATCTTTACGACCGTCACGACCACATGGAAACCAGGCTTATCCAACTCCTGAGTGTATGCGAATTCTACTTATTTAGTGTGGATAAGGCGCGACCCGCTGGCCTTCAATTTGTTAAGATACTCTAACCCTGTGTAACTGATTGAATTCACACATCATTTTGCCTGAGTTTACAAATCAGGGATGGATTTACTGGGGGGGGGGGGCCCCTAGCCCTGGCCAGAGGGGTGCTGGGGGGGGGTGCTATTTTCCATGATAAAGCAAAACATTATTAGAGACAAAATGAGATACAGTAATTTAAGTAATAACATGATGATAAGCGAACTGTGAACAACAATTACAATTCAAATACTGTAGTCAAGCAAGACTTTGCAGTAGTGAAGCAAGTTGATGGGCAGGCGGCACACATGACCGACACAACTCGGCACCAGAGCTGGCAGAGCACCCTCGCCCCCCCCCCCCCCCCCCCCCCCCCCCCCCCC